GCTACCATGGAAATCCCCAATGCCAACTGGCCAGATATTGACTATGTGAAGGTGCCTGTTCCAGACCTCCCCCATGCTCCACTGTCTTTGTACTTTGACTCTGTGGCCGATAGGATACACCAGACAGGGAAGAAGAACGGAAGAACTCTAGTCCACTGCGTGGCAGGTGTCAGTCGGTCTGCCTCCCTCTGTATTGCTTACCTAATGAAATATCATCGGTTGAGCCTCTTGGATGCTCACGAGTGGGTGAAGAGCAGGCGACCGGTTGTAAGGCCCAACGCAGGTTTCTGGAGACAGCTCATTGAATATGAATGCAAGCTGTTTGGCAAGAACACTGTCAAGATGGTGCCTTCACCTGTTGGGTTGGTCCCAGATGTCTATGAAAAGGAGACCCGTGGGCTGGTCCCCTTGTGGAATTTGAGATAAAGACTATCATTGAAATGGGCTGTGGACCACCTTGACTTAGAATGAAAAAGTTCCACTATGTTAGGACATTTAACAGGACTGTTCAATGTGGTGGATCTTAATAAGAAATTCTGTTAATGGTAGTCTTTTTCTAAGACCTTGCAATATCAGTACAATAGATCATGGAAAAGACATGAGTTTCTTGAACTTTTCAGTATGATGACAATGCTGTTTGTTATCATCCTGTCAAACATTGCTAAGAACATGTATCTTGCTTACAGTCTGAGATAAGAAATGGTTAAACACAAACTTACAGGCAGTAAAGATTACTGTACTATCTAAGGCAGAGGAGGCTCCAAGGTCTTTATAAATTAATCTTTGCATAGTAAGGAGAAATATCTTTCCCTTTTCTTCCCCCTTCTGCTTCAAGAGTTTCAGAAATCCTTCCTTGGGTGTGCTTTAATTTGAATAAGCACAATACACTTTCCTTTCTGGAGAGTTAAGCCCTAAAATGATGTGAATTAAAACAATGATTCATCCAAAGAGTCAGGATTTTGAGGAATGCACATAAACTCTGAACAGCAGCAGCCAAGAATCTGGGACGAGCACAACTATCAACAATAGGTATAAGATGCCAACTCTACAAGGGAATGTTATTTCATACATACATTCACTAAGCAAGTTGCAACTTGGCCATGGTATGCCACTCTTGTGGGGAAGATAGAAATTTTTGAATATTGGCTCAGGTTACACTCAAACAGGGTAGAGATGTAATTGGAAAGGGATTGAAGAACAAATACGCCAATCAAGCCTTCTTCATACCCCTTGTTAAGATTCAACTCTATGTACCAGGGAAGCTTTCTCAACACACTACACCTTGAAAAAGAGAGCATCTTGAAAATTAACACTTTCACAGTCAGGCGAGAAGTGCAACTTCAAAAATGTTTAAAGCTACATAGTGAACAAGTAGTAGAGTCACAATTTGGTGTGAGCAAGCAGTCCTGTAGTTTTGATTATGTGATTTATAGTATTTTATAACAAAGAGTGAAGCCTTTATAATAATACAAAGGTATAAAATTGGAAGGTGTATCCAGAGTTGAGCGAATATCAAGTGAGGTCTAAGTGTGATAGAGGATATCAAATAGGAGATGGGATGTCCAAACCAGTCAGCATATCAAAATGGTTTAAATTAATTATTAAAGCATGTGGACAATATATCCATAATAATTATGGGAAGATGTAATAAAAATGGAGAAAGAATGAATCGGATTCCTTTTAGATATGTTGAAATGGTAACTCCCAACTTTTATAGACAGTGTGGCCTTAATCAAATGCTGTCATTCCAGCATACCAAGGGGGAGAACCATGTTTAAAGAAAGCTGTCTTAAAAGAACTCTATTAGGGACAAATTCTGGAGTAAAATGTCAGGTTAAATGGAAGAGGCCCAGATGTGTTTTTGCATAAACATCACATAAGCATAGTCAAATCTATAACCAACAAGTGGGTCTATGCTTATGAAAGGAATGGCTTAGCAGCATTTGATAACTGTATTTCTCTGTCCAGAACAAAGAATATAGTTCAGTCCCATCTTAGATTGTTTGATTGTATTGACTTTTCAATACAATTGCTAACTGGGCGTTTCACAAAACAGTAACTAAAGTTTTATATGGGAGTTGAAGTCCACATTGTTGGTGAGATTGAGAAACATTGGTATAGGCCATCTAAGCAAGCCATTCAGAAATCTATTTCATTTATGTAAATAGAAAATAGTCACTTCCCACATTTACAATAGAGAAACTGAAAGGATAGTACATTTTTTGCAAGCAAAGTTGTCTTATAGATCTTATTTTTTAATGGATATGTAACAGGTTGGATATTTGCCATGAAAAATGTCTCATATTTTGGTATTTTACATGGGGACGAGGATATGATAATACAGGGGTGACTTTTTTGTGAGGAAGAAAACTCAGACGGATTATTTTAA